AGGGGATGGGTTAAATGCAGAGAAGTAATTTCCCTCTGGGATTATTAGAGTATAGAAAATCAAATCAAAATCGAAACACACAGCCAGGCAGATGAGCTCTGAGCCAGCTCCCATGTCAGAGGATGAAAGAGAGCACATCCAGTTAGTCACCGTCAGAGAAACAGGACTTCACTGGAAAAGCCAATATATAATAGGCCTATATATAATAGGCCAATCTATTATATATTTATATTATTATATTATAGGTTTAAAGGAGAAATAGATATTCATGTTTTGTTAAAGTTATTATTATTATTGTTATTATTATTATCATTATTATTATTACCATTATCATTACTATTAGTGTTGGACTGATACCAGTATCAGGCGGGGCCCTGATTCAGCACTAAAATGGTGGTATCGGTATCAGTGAGTACCAACTAATAGGGTCTCGATACCAATCTGAGAGCCAAAAGTTTATTTAACTATTGTCACCCATTCCAGGTAGGCAATAAAAAGTTCTACTGGATTCACTTTGTATTAGTCTTGTTCCTGCTTCACAAAGGTAGGCAGCAGCTTGACAAAGTCATAATGGCAATTATTTTACATCCCAGTAGTATGCAGTTCTTTATATATAAACACAGATCAATATCAAACAGATGGCATCGGTATCGGCCGATACTGCACAGCCAGGTATCGGGGTCAAACAAATGGCATCGCCGCATTTTTATTGTTGTTATTATTATTATCTCCTCTCAAAGGGAATACAATAAGAATATTATAACATTTTATAGATTTACTTCAAAAATAAAATTTCCATTAATCCAAATATTTAAAAAAAGTAACATACAGTAACACCCACATGTTTTAAGATAAATTAATCATATAATCTATTTTGTGCCTTTATAAAATATTTCTGACATGCGATTTATTTAGTGAGCAAATATCCTCCTCTCCACAGTTAGGTTCATAATTTAAATCTGAATAAAGTTTGTTTAAATCTTTTCTCAGAACAGAAAAGTTGTTTGCACTGCAGTAACTATAGCTGCAAATTCTAACTAATCTAATTGAATATAAATAACTAATGTAACTGATTTAATATAGAAGAAAAAAAAGATTTGTTAAAAGTCGAATCCAACATTTTTTTCTTTTAATGAAAACGATTGTTTAGTTTTTCTTTCAAGGCACCAAAATATTTTTGTTGACAATAAATATTTTTTTATCTGTAAAAGGAAAATCTCAACAGTCCCTTTTTGATCCCATCATATTTCTCTGCCTTCCGTCCTGATTGATTGAATCTCTCACTGCCCTGATGCTTTCTAACGGTTTGTTTTTGGATATTTTTCCAGATTACTTTTTCCACGCAAAGCAGAACCTGCTGTAAACTATTTAACATCCAGTCGGATATTTTAAGATATTTTTTAAGTAATTATTTTACTTATGTTACAATAAGTTTACCAAACAACTTATTTGGAGCCAAAATGTTAACGATGCTAGGATGTTAAATGATTTTTAAGTCCCAGAAGAGCGTTTGATCATTAATGTTGGTTTTTCACTCTTAGTAAGTTTTTGTGTTCATAAAAAAAAAAAAAAGTTTTTTGTAATTCTCAGTAATTTTCGGCAAGTGGCTGAACTGTTTCTGTCCTACTTCTGCCTCTGAGGTCATGCGGTTAAACTTAATGTAGGTTTTTGTTCTGCTTTTGTTCCTTCCGGTGCCCCTCTGCCACGCCATTGACACCATTACTACACCTTCCTCAATTATTCTGCTTTCTCTGTACGATACATTCACCAGATTATTAACAGCATGTTTCATCAAATGCACTGAAATCATTACTTTCAGTGGTTAGACAGTATTTTGCATCTCTGATATCTTTGAGCTCTGAGAAATCTGTGACATTCACAAATTATTTTTTGCTGTAATTAAGCTTTGCATGCAGTTTACATTATAATGTTCCAAAGAGCAGGATAAAGTACAGCCTGCGCATCTTCTTTTTATTTTTCCATATATAGTCTAAAGTTTATTTGTTATATTTTACTGTTCCCTTGTAAGTAAACTAGAAAACTGGTGCTTAAGATTTGGAAGTCTTTCACAAGTTTCCGCATTTTAACAAGTGCACAAACCATAGGAAATAAAAAAAATGGCTGATTTTAAGAAAATGGCTGAATCTAAGATAAGAGCGAATTGTTTAGTACATTAATGGAGCAGCAGAGTCATTGTTGCACATNAAGCTACAATGGTGCTGACCCCAGAAAACCATTCTATGACATCTTACCTTTACAGACGTACCAAAAGTTTCTTCTTAAATCTAATAGCTGTGAGGCTATAAGTTATTTACTTTTGTGTGTTTTTGTCAGGCAGAAATTTATTTATACCCCTTAGGGTGTAAGAGGTTAAGATTTGGAAGTCTTTCACAAGTTTCAGCATTTTAACAAGTGCACAAACCATAGGAAATTAAAAAAATGGCTGATTCCCCCCCCCCCCTTCCCTATTTCATTGTATTTGGGGTCATAACCCAATGAACATACGAGGCTTTACTTCGATTACGTAACACTTAGCTACTTGCAAACTTGCTATATTTAAAAACCTGGTTAAAATAAATATACTTTAAACTAAGATAACTGATTGAACATCAGTTTCAAAGCGCAAGTACAATACAAGTGCCATTTGTTGAGGTCCTTAAAAAATGTACCAGGGCGGCCAGGGTATCGGGCCCGTGTTTTTTCATTGGGGGGCACAGAACAAAAGAACTAAAATCAGACATAAAAAAAATAAAATAAATAAAAATCTAAGATAAGAGCGAATTGTTTAGTACATTAATGGAGCAGCAGAGTCATTGTTGCACATTTCTGATCTAACAGATGAAAACTGGGATCCCATCATAGCATGGCTGAAACTTACAGCTGACTGTAATTTCTGTTAAGTATTAAAGTAAACTGTCTTAGCAAAATATTAAATTGGTCCGAGGGACGAATCATTAACAGTCTTCTTTGTCATCATATATCATCATTTTGGAGTCAAGTAAAAATATTCTTTAAAAAAACTATTTGCCCCTAATTAGAGTAAGTAAATAAGATTATCTGCCATAGGAATGAGTATTTCTGCTCTTAGAATAAGATAAATAGATATCATTCACCTGAAATAAGATAATAGGGATTTTTAAAAAATATTTTAAACATGAATCATCTAATTGCATTAGCAAACTGTTTTAGCTCCTCAAATCAAGCAGAAAAATACGCTTACTTCAAGAAGAAAAAAAAAAAACTACTTAACATGGCCCATGTTTGCCCCTGAATAAAACTACCCATGACCTGTACAGATGAGATAAAGCTTGACACCCCTCCCCATGAACGGTATGTTTTAAACACTTGCTAAAATGATGAAAAGTGTGAAAGACCCCAAAATGATCTGTATAAAGAAAAACAATCTAGAAATAAGTCAACATTTCATGAATGAAGTTTATTTACCCTAAATTTGAGCAGGTAAATAAGATGATTTTCCAATAGAATTGGTATGAAATAAGACAAAGAAATTGTTTTTTCTTATTTTAAATGTAAATTGTCTTGTTCCATTGACCAAGTGTCTCACTTACCTCCTCAATTCAAGAAAAAAATGCACTTAGTTTAAAAAGAAATGACTTCTTTAGATTACGATTTGTTCCTGTGTGGTTAGTTTCGCTGTGTCATACAAGTACTTTATAAAAAAATAACATTACAATGATAGGTTAATTTTTTTAATCTGATCTATGTAAAAAAAATCATTGTTTGCCTTTTTCCTTCTTTTAGAAAACAGAGAAAGGAATAAGATCTGGCCTCAGATCTCTTTAAGTTGAATGAATTCTGGTCAGCTGGTTCTGACCACCTCTCATGGTCCGTACAGAGTCCAGCTTGTGCGGTGCTGACGTCAGATCAAAATCCTTGTGCATCTTCCTTCTAACCTCAGAGGAGAAGACAGACTGTTGCACTGGCGTTTGAGTTTGTCTCACGCTGCACTGCTTAACCACACAAACCCCAGCTTACTCAGTTCGCATCCTCTGGCCAAGGCTCTGCCAGATACCTCCTAATCTGTTAGCAGAGCTCTCTGTCTTTTGTTCTGTCGCCCACAAACACAGCTTCACCAAAGTGAAAACCCGGCTCCTTTTAAATGTAAATTGCAGCAGAGAAATTAATCATTTTCTAACTATTGAATATTTGATCTGACTCTGTCTACTGAGTTTTTTTTTGTGTGACTTTACTGACCTCTTTAACTCATGCCTTTTTTTAGTGTCGCATAGTCTGATAGCTATCAACATTTTCCAACCCAAAATAGAAGAGCGGTACCTGTGCTTCTGTTGCACAGCCTTTTCTGGGCAAGAAAGACGACCAGCAGCATGATCAGGATCAGGATAAAAGACGAAACACCAATGAGGACCCACATCCACAAATTATCCTCCGTGGACGCGACGCTGATCCCTGGAAAAAAAAGGAATTTCTGTTAAAATAACACAATTTGACTGATACAGACGAATACAGCAGTATGCAAACTTTTCCTTTCTTATCCCATTAAAAGAATGTAGTAGGTCACCACCTAGGATTTGATAACTGGTTTAATATACAGGTCTAACTAGTACCAGGGCTTAAATTCACACAAATAGCATCTACAGCTGATGGATTTTAGTTTTTTTTGTTTTGTTTTTTAAATGTCTTAGTGGAGCTACAGTGTTTATAGAACTAATACATAATTTTTGCTACTTCGTTTGATTTGCTGAATCAGAGAACCCAATTTAAAAAAAAATATTATTTATGATCACATTCATCCAATTTGGTATATTTAGTTTATATGTTGCCAAGTTAACCCTTTATAGGGCAAGTTAGGGTTTTTGATCTCTTGCATACCCCTTACAAATGGAGTCCCCCCGTCCCTCAGTGAGGTCTAGAAGCACAAGATCTATATCCAGCCACTCAGCAAAGATCCTGCTACATGGCTGTACATCTTATTTTGCTATTTGGACAATTGCGATGAGCCTTTGAATGATATATTACCTCCTGTAAATTAAGTTTAAAAAAAAGTTAACAAGTCGAGAAAAAAAGGTAAAAAGTTAATTGAAAATTTAAAAAGTTAATTAGCCTAGTTAACAATTATATTTAGTTTTATAAACTGAATTATCAATTAATGTCTCTAAGATTATGTTGAACAAAAAAATTGTTTCTTTCACTCTCAGTGTTTTTCATGATTTTTTTTTTATAGAAGCACATTTGTTATTTTCCTTGATATATGTAATAATATATGTCTTGTCCTGGATTCCAATAACACTATTGGCTTGAAATTTGGATTTTTTTTAAGAATTTCACTGAGTGCCCAATAAATGGTTAAGTAAATTAAGTTTAGCAAAGTTAGTTTAATTACTTGCCACCAGTGGAAGTAGTTTGTTTAAATTGAAGCTGCATTCTCCTTCAAAAAAATTGAAATCTAAATAAGTCATTTTTTATTAGAATAAGTGCATTTTTCTCAAATTGAGGATGTAGGAGAGTCACTTACATTTAAAATAAGGAAAAAAAACTACATTGTCTTATTTTGTGTGCATAATACCTGATTAACTTATTTTAAGAGTAAAAATACTAATTCCATTGGCAAATCATCTTATTTACTGACTGAAATTAAATCGAAATACGCCTAATTTAAGAATTTTATTTACTTTTTTTTCAGTGTTGTAACATGTTTGCAGGTTCATTGCATGTATTTTCACAGGTGCAGTTGTTTTGTCTAAGCTGACCGATCACCTAGATTGGCTGACACCTCTCTAGACATTTAGATTATAGATCCTTCTACAGTGGAAACTCTACACCACCCAGACTCTGCTAGAAAGACACAGTTTTTCATTTTAACGTCCGCTCACGGATGCATACACACACCTTGGGTTTTCGTTGTTTCTGACTGAACCGTTGTATTTCCCATAAAGTTCTCCACTGTAACAAAGCGGTACGAGAAGCATTGATTCAGTTATTGCAAGCCAGAATCTCAGAAGCATTAATCAGTTCATTCATGAGGTTAAGCAGAAGCACAGCAGGATTTAGGAAGGAGCGTTTTTCTAGGCACTTAGAAAACTGTCTGCAGCACTGTGATGTGGTTGTAAGCATCTTTTTTTATTGCAAACATAAGAAGATGAAACATAAAGAATTAAAAAAAAAAAAGTAAGTCAAATTAGAATGAGGTATATTTTATGATTAAGGTAGAAATGAACTGATATGCTACATTTTCTGACTCTAAAAGCTTTTGTTTGTCAGCTTACAACGACGCCATAGTGATGCTGTCAATGAACGGTCAATATTCTGCTTATAGTAAAATGTAATAAATACTTACATGCTATTTCTGTTCTGTTGCTGGAAATCGTAGTTAGTACAGGAATCTCAATTATGACTTTGCAAGAGTAAAATCCATAGTTTCTTTTACTTATATTTGATAGAGTGCATGCACTTTGGCATCCATTCGTCAGGGTGTAATTCTGATTAAGATTATTATTAAGATTACAATGTTCAACAGTTAAGTTGTCGGTGTCACTTTGTTTCAAGCTTTGGAATGCATATTTCACTCTAAATCTTTCTGACTTGTTGATATTTAAACAGCAGCGCAAGGTCAGAGAGGAGCCCAAATTGACATGCTGCTTTTTCACTTCATCATCCAAACGTATATCTTGCTCCATTGGCATCCCCAGGACCGCTCCTGCCACTAGAAATATGATAAGAAAACAGGGTTAAACATACAAATATGTAAATGTTTTACCTGGTTTCCACTGCATACTTCCACAGCTTAAATTAAAGCCTGTTCATTTCTTACCCGTGAGAAATGCTAAAATCACCCATTTAAGCCACATTTCTATCTTGTGATGCAGGCAGCGGTCGTCCTTAGAGCGTCCTCCTTTCTCAAACTGCCTTCCTCTCAGCATCAGACTCAGACACATGCAGACCTGCGTGGGTGGGGGGTGGAAAGACCGGAGGAGTGGCTTTCTGCTAAAGGGCTGTAAGGCTGGGGGTGCCTTTACTGGAGGAGGCTGACTGTATTGGAGGTGAACATAACATTTCTTTTGAAAGATGGAAAACAGCGTAGGCTGTCTGTAAAACAACCTGAAAGAAATACAGAAGGAGTTTTTTGACCCAAACTGTAACAAACTGTTTGATAAGTGCCCTTTTGTCAGAAAACATCAAAGCAGCCTGCATGAGCAACCCCCTTGAAAGATGAACATCCGCCACGCTTCCGCATCTCTGCGGCCTACAGCTCGTGTCTCAGAGAGACAGTGGGACATGTGCTGACTGGCTTTATGCCATGAAATAAAAAAAGGACCCAATGAGAGCTGGGGTATGTGAAACCCCGTGTGGGTTTTGGTGCAGAAGGTGCTAAAACACATTTTACAATTCTCCCGCAGCATGTCACATGAAAAGAAACACTTGGCTTCCTGTGACAAGACGCTGACATCTGGTGAACTTCCATTCTCAACTTCCATTCTCAACTTCCATTCTCAAAACACAAGAAAGAGGCAAAAACAAAAATAGATCCCTTATAAATATATATTTATAAATGATGTATAAATATATACATCATTCATTTAAATAGGTTTGTATGAATGATGGAGTTAAAACAGAATAATGCAACTGAAGCTGCTTTCATTTGATAATAAAAACGCTGCCTGCTCTGCTTGCTTTTGCTTCACATCTGTGATGAAAGAAAAAAAAGGGTCAGATTGAGAAGCGTCTGAAGTTTGTAGGGGGATGTCAAACTTCTGCAACCTCAACCTTTCTGATCTTTTGCTGCAGATTGAAAGTAGGCCCATTTTATGCACGTCTTCATCTTTATTTAGTTTGCTTTGTACTGCAGCTCTTTGTTGATTAGAGTCAAACAGGAACATTGATCACTCTGAAAAACCTTAAAACAGGCTTTTAATGAGTTGTTTTAATCATTTCTTTTATAATTAATTATTTTCTTTAAAAGCCTTTAATGGTTTTGATCTGTAAATGTTAAATAATAATACATTTTAATTACCTACCTTCTTACAGTGTATGTTGAGTCGAAATAAAAAATACAGTAAGCCTACAGTAAGAGACAGACATTTTATCTCAGATTAAATCTCATGGTGCGCTCAGATCATCTGATAACATCTGCATCACATCAACTAAATCAGGTTATATTTCCGCTGCTAATCTGATTTAGCAGGGGCTTGTTTTCTTGCTTAGTGTCTGACTAATTTCTTACTATATCTTCAAACCACACAGAATCAACCAAGATGGGTTTAGAAACAATAAGTACTTTCTGAAAAAATATGTAGTTTTGACCTTTTTTTTTATTATTTTAACCATTTATATACTTTCATAATCGCACCATCTGATCTGGGTTCTGTTATAATTAAGGAAAATAGTGCAATAAATCCTCACTGGTCCCCTGTGAAAACGTACTCTCACACTTGTTAGTCTAGAATTGTTGTCTAGAATTTCTAAAAGTAGAATGGGAGGCAGATCTTTTAGTTATCAGGCTCCTCTCCTGTGGAACCAACTACCAGTTTTAGTCCGTGAGGCAGACACCCTGTCTACTTCTAAGGCTAGGCTTAAAACTTTCCTTTTTGATAAAGCTTATAGTTAGAGTGGCTCAGGTTAACCTGAGCCACTCTAACTATAAGCTTTATAGTTATGCTGATATAGGCTTAGACTGCTGGAGGACATACCCCTTGTCTGTGCTGCTGCCATCAACACCTTTGTTTATAGATGTTGGAGATCTGCCTGTTTTCCAGTGTGGTCCTGTTTCTCTGACTGTGACTACCTGGATGTGCTCTCTTCATCCTCTGACATGGGAGCTGGCTCGGAGCTCGTCTGCCTGACTGTGTGATTCCTGGACGGGGCCGCCTGTGGAATCTGCTTCTGTCTCCTTGAACCCCAGTCTGCCTCAGCAGATGGCCGCTCACAAGCCTGGTTCTGCTGGAGGTTTCTTGCTGTTAAAAGGGAGTTTTTCCTCTCAACTCTCACTAAAGCAGGCTTAGTGTGAGGGATTGCATTCGAGTCAATGATATGATGCAATCAAGTGGTTTTCCTTAGATAGAAAACTTTAAATCAATTTGACTGTACGATCTGGTGATTGTGCCTTGAGATGACATGTGTTGTTAATTAGCGCTATATAAATAAACTGAATTGGATTGAATTTTTAACACTCTATAATTAAAAATAATTTTGATGAAGTGCGCTAAAAGTTGAAAAAACTCAATAATTTAAAAAAAGAAGAAGATGAAAAACAAATGAGAAACAAACATTTGTTATTTTGCAGGTAATGCAGGTTTTTTACTGTAAGAGAAAACAAACCTAGTTTTAAAGCCAGGAAGAGAGACAAATGTTCAATTTAAATGACCTGATACATTAAGGCATTGGAATGGCCTGCTAAGCATCAATAGAAGTTTTTGTGATGCCACATGTTTAAGGTCATTTAAGACTAAAATCAATATGACTCAATAAAAACAATTCTGCAAAAATAAATGAACTGAAATCACTTCCATAGAGATGTAGAAGATTCATTTCTCTGATATTTAATGGCAGTTTTTGGTGAACGACGCAGCTAATCCTTCAGCATTTTTTAAATTACATCATTCATAACTTAAAACTGCATTTTCTGTTTAGGTTTTCCTGTCAGCACTACCTCGGTACTCTCTGTCTTGCAGTCATTCATAGAAAAAACAAAGGCTTTTTTATAATCCCGTATCTATCACCAGTGTTGCTTAAGTAAGAACAGAAGTGAAACAAGTTTGAAAGAAGAAGTGAAAATAACAAACACAGCGAAAATATGTATCATAGGCAACGACCCTGATCACCTAAATAAACTTAAATAGTAACCAAACCTAAGGTGAGAAAGCGCACCCCTGTCTGGCACCAACACCATCTTTTTTTTAGTTCTCAGTAACGGAATAAGAAAACAAATCTTTCTATGCATAATAAGGACCTCTTCTTTTATATGTTTTAGTTTGGATATTATCATATATTTTATATAAAATATCATAATTAAAAACATTGTTTTTAAATGAACTTCAGAAATAAACACACAAAAAAATGCAACATAATATTCCAAGAAATCGTCATCACACTCAGCATGGTGGAAATACAGAGGAACTGAGCATCAACTGAGCATACTTATATTTTCCATCCAGAACAGCAGAAGTCTGGTATCTTACTCCACAATTCAGATACATAAAACACAATTATAAGGAGGAAGTGAAAACTGTAGTGGTAAAACGTTTGAGCTGAAAACCAGATGAGACAGCTTTAGTCAGGAAGCAAAGAAGAAGCCACAGAGTAGAGCTGAAGGGGGGCTTTCTACCAGGCTGCAGACAAAGCCCTCTTCCTACAGTCACTCTGAATGATAGACAAAAAAAAAAACATATATATATGCAGTAAACACTTAAGCTGGGAGAAAAGCTGCTCACCTTTAAGCTCTAGTAGTAGAGAAACCATAACTGGAAGCTCGTTAATTATTACCAATCAGACTGAACTGATATGTAAAACTTTAATTAAAAAGTGTTTTTTTGTAATAATTCCCCCGACTCAAAAAAATAAAAAAAAAATAAAGGATTGATAATTTTTTAGTGTTTTTGATTGTTTTATTAATATAGACCACATTTTCTCACTCACTGTCAATGATTCAGCAAAAAACATGGTGTTTTTTTTTTCTTTTTTGTTTTCTCAAAAAAACAAACAAGCAAGAAACCTGAAAACAAAAATCTGAAAGGGGAAAAAGTGGGTCCATCCTTATCTGTAATCAGTGTTGGGGAGTAACGGATTACATGTAACGAAGTTACGTAATTTAATTACAAAAACAGAGTAACTGTAATTTGTTACAGTTACAATGAGAAAATATGTAATCCAGTTACAGTTACTTCCGAAAATATTAAGAATTACAAATTTAGTTACATTTTTTTAAAAATATAAAGAAAAACCTTTGCGAAATACCGGTATGTAATGATATTTTTATTGCTTCACGCCCTGTATCGCCGTTTCCTGCTACTGCTCCTTGTCTCTATCATATTTGCCACTCTGATGATCCATCCTGTGCTGGTGGTTTGGCATCTAATCAAGTGCAACGTGTGCAGATTGTGCAGCATGCAGTATTTAGAGATAAAATGCAGCTATTCACAGCTAGGGTAAGGAAATATGGTTGATAGATATGTGCAGCAGAATAAATAAATTACCCCTAGGGAAATGCATGTATGTGCAGAACCACTGTAGATAGGGCTGTACAGGTGCGAATTGAAGAGAAACACTGTACAAATGTTGGGATGGTACAGTAAGGTATGGATAGAGGGGAAGGAAAGACTGGTCTTTGGGAAGAGTTCAATAAGGTGACCGCTGTAGGAAAGAAGTGGTTTCTGAACCTGCTTGTGTTAGTCTGCAAACTTGCGTAAATGGTAGAGCCTGGGGGAAGAACAGAAAAGAGTATGGCCCGATGAGAGGAGTCTGAGAAAATCTTCCATGCCTGGTGCTGGCATCTCTTCTTGTGGACATCCTGTGATTGCCTGTCAGCAGTTCCCTCTCAGCTTAGTGCTTTTTTAAGGTTCACATTCAGTTCTCAAAAATTAAATTTTGAACACGGGTCAATACTCATTAAAAC